ACACACAGTGAAAACTGTTAAGCACCCCTAATATACTCTCCCAAAAAAGAAACGCATATAGGAATTTCAAATGTATTTTTATGTTTATTTTGAAACATCTTGTAGGCTTTATGAGTCTATGAAATATAGCGAAATTGCACACTGGGAATGCAGACTTATCCGTCTTTGGCACCAACTCGAGGAAAGTCAGTTTGAGTGTCACATGGAGACGTGTGGTGGCGCTGAAGTCAATACCTCGTGTGACCACCGTGGGCATCCAGGACTGCACGGCATCGCTTCGGCATCGAACGAATAAGTCTCAGAATCTCGTGTTGCCCAATCGCAGCCCACTCTCTGCCTGTAGTGCCTGTGCGAGTTGCTGAAGTGTCTGGGTTACGACGTCGCACCCGTCTGTCCAGGGCATCCCACAGATGTTCGATCGGGTTTAAGTCCGGTGATCTTGAGGGCGAGGGGAGCACATTGATGTTTTGGTTCTGGAGGAAGTCTCTAGTGTGACGTGCTGTGTGGGGCCTGGCATTGTCCTGTTAAAACAACTCCCTCTGGCGATCAATGATTGCAAGGAGGTGTGGGCGTAGGATTTCGTCACAGTACCGTTGAGCTGTCAGGTTGCCCTGGATCATCACCAAATCACTTCTCCTACGGCAGGTGATCGCTCCCCACATCATAACACTGTCCCGGCCGAATCTGTCCACATGGGGAACGCAAGCGTCGGCGAAACTTTCACGTCGACGTCTGTACACCCGCATTCTTCCATCGCGTCGTTCCAATAGAAATCGTGATTCATCACTGAACCAGATTCTACGCCAATTCGGTAGGTTCCAGGCCTGAACGTTGGTGCACCATTGAACTCGATGTCGACGATGTTGTTGTCGAAGCACAGGGCCAAAATAAGGTCTTCTGGCTCGTAAACCAGCCTCTCTAAACCTGTTCCTGACGGTCTGTGCAGAAAGCCTCCTGAATCCGGGTATTTGTCGAGCGGTACTGGTCGCCGTAGCTGTTCGATGACGCAGGTGATGTACCCGGATGTAGCGATCCTGCGCCGCAGTGGTCGCTCGAGGTCGCCCACTACGAGGGGCATCTGCTACCGCATTCTGCCGGCGATATCTCTCCCAGAGCCTTGAAATGGTGCTTTGGTGAACATTCATGCGTCGGGCAACTGCACGTTGAGACTGGCCAGCTTCAAGCGAACCAATGGCGATATGACGGTTGGCTTCACTTAGACGTGGCATTTTGCTTTCGTCAACAATATTCCAAATACAGTGAATAATCGACAGACAGCGATCAACCTTTTCTACCCGTCATTGAGACTATCTGATCCCCAACTTTCACGTGCATTGCATGTGAATTGTGTATTCTGTGACACTACGCGCCGAAATTGAAAATCATGCTGTTAAATACGGGTATTTTACGGATGGTGCGTTTTGTTGTGATGTTTCAAAACATTTACACCATAGGACTCATAAATAGAGCAAAACCTTTTGTAAAATGAATCACGTTTTAATTCATTGCTACATGAAATTGCTATTGCGTTTCTTTCTTGGGAGAGTATATATTGACCGTTAACCGAACTATGTTGAAGTTCAGCTTGTGTATGATGATACGTATCACAACAATTATTATTGCTAGTGTACTAGGTTGAAAGTGTCTCCCAAACTCACCCTGTGGAGCATGTCCAGAATCAAACCCAATAATTTTCTCAGGTGCAGCTTGCGAACGTGCCAATCTGCATGGGTTACACTGTCCAATCGTTATTCTCCCTCTATGGTACAAAAAAGATTATGAAATGGCCAGAGATGCAAATTATGTGTATGCATAACTGGTATGTCCTTTAAAGCAATTGGTCGGGAAGTGAATGACAGTCCACTACACAGTTGTCAGTCGTTTGGTCAGAAAATACACGGAAACCTTTCAGAATAATACATTGACTCATCTTCCGTGGACTAAGGGATTAAAGATGTGACCCCCCTGGAGCATATTTGGGGCGAAAGACACCGACAATACCGGCCAAACAATTGGATACATGCACATGTACCACCTGTTCAAAATCTGCATCAGCTGGAGCAGCTTTGCACCAAGAATGGCGACAGTCACCTCAGCAACGTATACGACGACTGACGTGGTGTACGCGTGTGTGTATACGTACGTGAGAGAGAGAGAGAGAGAGAGAGAGAGAGAGAGAGAGAGAGAGAGAGAGAGAGAGAGAGAGAGAGAGAGAGAGAGAGGCGTAGGGTGAAGGCAGCTATCCAAGCATGTGGAAGGTAGAGGTTGACCGTACAACGCTCCAGGTTTCAAATAAACGGTTTTGTTTCATCGCATACACGCCATAGTGCCTGATTTGTGTGTGTGTGTGTGTGTGTGTGTGTGTGTGTGTGTGTGTGTGTGTGTGTGTGTGTGTGTGTGTGTGTGTGTGTGTGTGTGTGTGTGTGTGTGTGTGTGTGTGTGTGTGTGTGTGTGTGTGTGTGTGTGTGTTCTGGAAGGCGTAGTTGGTATTGATAGAATTTGATAAATTTATGGATTTTGTGACCAAAAGCAAATGTCACATCGAATTGAAAAATGTGTTTGCAGCGAAAGCACTTTGAGTGTCTCATTTGTTTTGGGTCTAAGCCCGAAGTACTCGTCGCAGAGATTTCTTAAGATTTTAAAGGACTTTTTAACATTCAAAACCCACTTCCTGTTGCCTTATGAGATAGTAATGCCGTATTCTCAGTTATAGAACTACAACATTAATACAAGTATAATCGACAGAATAAGGTACTGGCTCAAAACAGACCGCTTTATGTGTCTCAAGGGCGAAGCGCTTGTGAGTGAGCATAACCTTTATATACTCACAGAAATACACCCTACAAACGTCTCCCGTGGGTCGGAGCGGTAGGGTAGCCTAGTTGTTAAAGCATTTGCTCGTCACACCGAAGACCCGGGTTCGATTCCCCATATGGGTACAATGTGTGAAGCCCATTTCTTGTGTCCCACGCCGTGATATTGCTGGAATATTGCTAAAAGTGGCGTAAAGCTAAACTCACCCACTCGGTGTATACCCACGTGTTTCAAAGTAGGCTACCAAGTAGAGTTCATTCATAAAGGGTCACGCGTACCTCGAACCTAGCTCACTCACTCACTCTCCCGTGGATCATAATATGACCTGAATTAGAACACGAACTCTAGACTTTCCACAACAAACTGACACGCCGTTATGTGACTGACAAACCGTTCAGATTAACTCACCTGTTTCTTATACAAATACAATAACACAACGTTAATGAAAACACCCAATAACTATGTATTGCTCATGTATGCACTCATCGAATGATATTGCAGAATTTCAAGCGCCCTTACATGTCCCGTTATTCTTAAGCCTTAGACAAATATCAACGCAATTACATTCGAAGCCTACTGTACACATAGCCTGAACAGGTATCCCAAAGCCTTTTCAAACATCTGCTTGGTGCTCGCGAAGCCAAGTGGTTAATGCTTTGGCTGATCACACCTCGGGTCCGAGTTCGATTTCCAATATGAGTACAACGCGTGAAGCCAATTTCCGATGTCCTCGGCGTGATATAGCTGCAGTCTTGCCTGAAGCGACATCAAGTCTAAACTCACCAAAATTCCAGGTTACTGCAGAACGGTCAAGTACTGAATGTACCACACATATTCATTCTGTTGGTATCCAACACATAAAACACACTCATTTTAAACATTCGAAAAGTAAGAATTTCAAGTAAGATTCTTACGTGCATGATTCAAAAGACGTCAAAGAAGATGTTTTCAGATGACAACACTTCATCTATATCTGATCAGAGCAGATTAACTCTCCATGACAAATTACTTATAGTTATATAACAAAACTCGGGTTCTCTTTACTTCTTTTGGACAGTATAGATAGGAAACAGAAAAGAGTGAGTGAGTGAGTTAAGTTTTACGCCGCTTTTAGCAATATTCCAGCAATATCACGGCGGGGGACACCAGAAATGGGCTTCACACATTGTACCCATGTGGGGACTCGAACCCCGGTCTTAGGCGTGACGAGCGAACGCTTTAACCACTGGGCTACCCAACCGCCCCCTAAACAGAAAAGAGGAAACCAGGACCTGTATAATGAATCATGTTCCGAGAACCAAACGCTTTCGACGAACGCACTTAATACTTAGAATGACGCAAAGTTCCTCATGCATTTTTCATGATCATAAAGGAAGCTGCGTTTGTTACATGTGAAACTATTAAAGGAAACGTTTAGATCGCTTTGCGGAATATGTAAATTTCGACCTATATTTAACTGACATATACATGATTTATTTAGAACGTGTATTCATGCACCTGTTCAACCTAAATGTTTCCTGGGTAGCTACACTTGTTTATGCAGAGAGGTAGTCGCATACCATACTGACTGCCAAGCATGGAGAAATCTTTCTGAAAGAAAGACACTTCAAACACCGATCATTTGCATTGGTAGCACGTAATGTCTCAATAACATATTATTGGGATTGCTACACCCGTAATGCAAACTGCAAAAGAAACGTTTACGATGCATTATTAATAGGTTTCCTTTACCAACGAGAACGTTTGCATATTTAGTCAGTGTATGAGAGGAAAACGGCGTCGTCTCCGAGAGCTCAAAGGTTTTCAAATGATACAACACAATCCTTTAACAATGAATCCCGAACCAACGAGATCAGTGTCTCAATGTCTTTTATGAATCTATGACAAGCAGAAGGTGCGAGTTTTTGGCACGTTATGAGAACACATGCAACACATGCTTTTATATACATGATTAATATCTTTTTAATATGTACACGCATCATTAATCAAGTATATTGTGTAGAAGGTGCACTATCATGCTGCCAAGTACGAATAATGTCTACATATATCTGTGTTTACAAATATCGTCGTTATACCTTCACACATACCCGAAAAGAATACGCCTATAATATGGTGTTTATAGTCGTATGTAATGTTTGTACACAGAGGAAATATCCCTTTAAATATGCCATACAAGAAAGGCCATGATGGCCACTCTACCTGAAGACGTTGAAACTACAATCGTGTACGTACAATCAGTGACTATGGACAGGACAGAAAGTGCTATGTTCATGTAAGTATGGATATTTATGTTACTTCTTTCATATGTTCCCTAAAAGAAACTTTGAGAATGACTGCAGGAATTTTTTCGGGACCAATTTCTCATATAAAATAGCAATAATTCTCATTGCAACGGGTTGCACAATTTGCCGTTTACTTTAAACTTACAGATACGTTCACGTCATCTTACCTACGCCTACAAGTACCGCTGTTGGATTCAATAGTTCTTCAGTAGAAGCCACCAGTGGCAATAGTTACAAGTACTCTCTATGAACAATTTTGCTTTATCTCGCTTTTGACGATAATTTGTTTGCAGATACCAGTGATGTGGTACGTGTACGTTAAGCCCGCTTAGAACAGAATTGCAGCTTATTCTCTACCACAAAAAGTAAGGATCACAGTTTTATTTCATATGGCCATATCTTGAAAGAGATCGGGCTTCTTGACTACATTTGAGAAGTATATCACGGCATGTCGATTTGATTAGGGAGAAAAAAGGTACACAAGTTACAGCAGATGAACACTTAACCCGAAGTGAAAAGCCAGTAAAATAAATATTACACAGAAGAGTGTCCTGAGTAGCGTATCCTGTCACGGCTGGGAGGGGGAGGGGAGAGTTGGGTTTTACGCCGCTTTTAGCAATATTCCAGCAATATCACGGCGGGGGACACCAGAAATAGGCTTCACATATTGTACCCATGTGGGGAATCGAACCCGAACCTTCGGCGTGACGAGCGGACGTTTTAACCACTGGCCTACCCCACCGCCCGGCCACGGCAGAGAGACGTAAGTCAGCTTAGCGCAGAGGCTTAGACACCTGACAGACTCCTCCGCTAGTGTCCCCCACCCCACTCGCAGGCTGCCCCTGTCAAATAATTTATAACGGAAAAACCAAATAATCTTTCACACGTGATACTTGTTTGTCAATAAAATGGAGCAGTGAACTACCGGCGGAAGTTAAAAACGAAGATGTGCATATTCATGAGTGTCCATGACTATATTTCCTTGAAATCACGTGTTTCGTTTCACAATACTGATAAGACTCGGCAACCAAATGAAATATTTCTTATTTTATTTCAGTGTTGATGTGAACATGGCTTTCCAGGCTGTAGGTGACACTCTGGTAATTATGTTTGTTTGCTTATGCTTGCATGAACAAAGGTAAATTTAACTGTGGTCAGAGAATATAATTAACAAATTACGTAAATTAATTACGTTTCAAGGAATATTTGAGGAAAACAAGAGACTACAACCTAACATTTTGTCAATGCTAAAGTTTTGTAATAAATACTAGGATTGAAAAATCAACCAGTCTTGTCGCTAAATCTTAGATTTGATATACAATATGCTTTAGAAATAAAAAATAATTTAGATATGAATTTAACAAAATAAATCGTTTGGTCCTTCGATATATAAACAAGATACAATCATATAAATATGCAGACCTTTTAAGAAGGTTCACCATCACAATGAGATATTTGGGACAATGATCACTTCTGCCTTTGTTTATTGTTATGTTTTGTTTCTTAACCTTTCTCCTTGGTCTATCGTTAATAGTCACAGTGAGAGCCATTGTCGTCTTAGCTTATTGCTGATGAGAACGTTGTAATGTCAACTTTCCTATATTTGATTGTCAAAGGTATTATTGATAATTACGTGTAAGGTCTTTAAAACGGTAACTGAGTACCTGGTCGTGCAATACTTTCTGTTATCTCACACGCGCAACAGTTTCGAAAGATTTAATCTCCAATATTTGTTCATGACGTCAGCGCAAATGTAAATAATTGTTTTATATTTAAGATATATTTTAGCCTACAATCAACTGTCACACCCCGGTAGATTGTAGAAGCATTCTGTTAGAGTGGCATTCCCTTGTAGTGAATTGATCTTAGGTGCATCAATGATCTCTGTATTTCAAATATATACTACCCACACTTTGCTAAGGATCACAAAATTCCCAACTTTACTTAAACATAGAATTTGAAATTGTATCCATTTAAAACTGGATAAATAATATTATAGTAACCCCTCTTTAGGCAAACAGCCACCTTAATCTAACCTTATGCACTTGATACATGAGAAGCCATAAAAATGTTTTTTCATGGCACCAATCAACCATTTTGCAAATCATGGAACGAGTCATTTACAAGTACACAACACCTGTCAATAGCAGGTATGGGATCCTCAAGATGAAATGACATACTGAAACCTAGGATCCCTACTTACAATAAGCTTAGATATTTCAACCAATTTAGACCCCACATCCTAGTTTTCTGTTGAATCAATGATTTGATCCTTAGCAAAGTGAACAGTGTATATTCTATATCTTAAGACATAACACAAATTGTAATGGCAGCTAAACAATGTCCTCAACATCCTTAGAGTAGGATGTGATGAAGTCGTTCAATAGCATCCCGACTCAATTTCTTCATGATTCTGTGAATGTTTTTAAGGTTCGAGGAGGCTGCTGACATGTCTCCCACTGCATGCTCTCTGGTCGTGTGGGCCATCGTATTGCTGTCATGCCACCTCTCCACATGTACAGCCGGTAAGTATGTACATGTAGATGGAATAGTTAGATTAACAACTAGTCTCTGAAATGAACGAGGTGGTGGGGTAGCCTAGTGGTTAAAGCGTTTGCTTGTCACGCCGAACACCCGGGTTCCATTCCCCACATTGTGTGAAGAGCATTTCTGGGGTCCCCAGCTGTGAAATTGCTGGAATATTGCTAAAAGCGGCGTAAAACTATACTCACTCACTCTGAAATGAACACATTTTACAGAAAAAATGTTCATAGTAAAACAAATAGAAATATAATGAAAAGGAGCCCTGAGACGTTCTTCAAGCTGTGGAAATCTAGACTTGCCACATTTTCAAAACTTGCGTGGGCTTTCTTGGATATATTTGTTTCAGGGTCTGTATGACAGACTAATGGAATAGTCCAGTGGTGACTTTTGTCTTTTTTTTCATTTGTTTATTGATTAACACCGCGCTCAGCAATATTACAGCTATATGGCGGGGATCTGTAAATGATCGAGTCGGAACCAGACAATCCAATGATCAACAGCATTAGCACCCATCTATGCAATCGTTATACTATGGAATGTGTCAACCAGGTCAGTGAGCCTGAAGAAACCTTTCCCATTAGTCGTCTCTTACGACCGGCAGAGATTGCTGTTCTAACCCGGATCTTCACGGGTTACCTGGTAGCGTGTTGGATCGGAAGGACACAGATTCCGGGTACAATGAAGTTGTACAATGAAGTTGTTTTCTGGTGTTTCCTGCTGTGTTATTGCTAAAATACTAAAAGTGTCTTTAAACTACACTCATTCGATATAAGTGCATAGTGTGTCCTCAGTATGTATATTGCGAGAAAGTCTAGGTTTCTGATGTTTCTGAGACATTTTAACATTTGTGTCACAACATATTGTATCAATAATTGTTGATATTACTGAATTGTGAATTCAAAAAAAAATAAAAATAAAAAAATAAAGTAAAAGAATAGGCTAAATGATCATCCTTGCGCTGTTGCTAGGCACCGGTTTGCGTGCACGTATGAACGCATACATACATACACTTCTACATAATGTTCTTGAATATATACACATGCATGTATTTCAACACCTACAGGTACTTGAACTCAAATACACATGCACTTGAACACATACACCCATGTGCGTCAACAGTTACACATACATGCGTCCTTGAGCACACAATGTACGTGAACAGAAACACACATGTGCATAAAAATGCACACATGTGTGTGTTTGAACATACTCGTGTTCTTGACCACACGCATACGCATGTGCTTAAACACAATTTTTTGTACTTTATCACTTACATGTGCCTGAAAACATACACACCTGTCCTTGTACATATCCACACACATGTATTGATCACATACACACTTGTCCTTGTACATATCCACACACATGTATTGATCACATACACATTTGTCCTTGTACATATCCACACACGTGTATTGATCACATACACGCTTGTGCTTGTACATATCCACACACATGTATTGGTCACATACACGATTGTACTTGTACATATCCACACACATGTATTAAACACATACACACTTGTGCATGTACATATCCACACACATGTATTGATCACATGTATGCTTGTGCTTGTACATATCCACACACATGTATTGGTCACATACACGATTGTGCTTGTACATATCCACACACATGTATTAAACACATACACACTTGTGCATGTACATATCCACACACATGTATTGAACACATACACACTTGTGCTTGTACATATCCACACACATGTATTGAACACACACGCTTGTACTTGTACGTATCCACACACATGTATTGAACACACACGCTTGTGCTTGTACGTATCCACACACATGTATTGAACACACACACGCTTGTGCTTGTACATATCCACACACATGTATTGAACAAATATACGCTTGTACTTAAACACATTCACTCACGTGTGCTTGAAAACATTCACAAATATACATGGACACATACACACATGTGCGCTTAAGATATTCATTCACACGTGCATGAACAAATACACACTTGTACTTGAATGCATTCACACACATGTGCTTGAAAACATACACGCGTGTACTGAACAGAATCACACACGTGTGCTTGAACACATACATACATGTGCTCTGAAGATATTCATATTCACACACACGTGCATTAAGAAATACACACTTGTACCGCACACATTCACACACGTTCCTAAACAAATGCACGCATGTACTTGAATAAAAGCAACAAAACACACCTATGTGCTTGAACAAATACACATTTGTACTTGAACACATTCACACACATGTGTTTGAACAAATACATACTTGTACTGAACACATACACACATGAGCTTAAGAAGCACACTTACACTTGAACACAAACACACTTATGTGCTTGAACACATTCACGTATCCATGTACGAGCGAAGTAGCTATTTCCTTACGGCTTTAAAGGTAAAAACACTGACTGTTCATAAAACTTGAACACATACACACATGTGCTTGAACACATACACACTTCTACTTGAACACATTCACACACAGGTATTGATTACATACACACTTGTACTTCAACACATTCACACAAAGGTATTGATTACATACACGCTTGTACTTGAACACATTCACACACAGGTATTGATTACATACACGCTTGTACTTGAACACATTCACACAAAGGTATTGATTACATACACGCTTGTACTTGAACACATTCACACAAAGGTATTGATTACATACACGCTTGTACTTGAACACATTCACACAAAGGTATTGATTACATACACACTTGTACTTCAACACATTCACACACAGGTATTGATTACATACACGCTTGTACTTGAACACATTCACACACAAGTATTGATTACATACACGCTTGTACTTCAACACATTCACACAGGTATTGATTACATACACGCTTGTTCTTCAACACATTCACACAAAGGTATTGATTACATACACGCTTGTACTTCAACACATTCACACACATGTATTGATTACATACACGCTTGTTCTTCAACACATTCACACAAAGGTGTTGAATACATACATAGGTATACTTCAACACATTCATACAGGAGTGCTTGAAAACCATATACACATGTACCTGAGCATATTCACACATCTGCTGCAACAAATACACACGTGTGCTTGAACACATTCCCACTTACGTGCTTGAACACATTCGCGTATCCATGTATACAGAACGAACCAAGTAGCTATTTCCTTATCGCTTTAAAGGTTTAAAAAAACACTTTTGACTGGTCATAAAATTACAAAGAGGGGAAACCCCACCCGGATCTCATTATAGGTGGTCTTTCTCGGTGACTTGGTTGGTTTCATTTCATCGATTCGATTTTTTAAAGACAGAAGTTGACGTATTGCTGAAAATGGCATAAAACAACAAACAAACAACAAATCTAATACATGTGTAATATATACTGTTATATGTCAATGGCTCTCAACCTACTTTCAACATCATGTTCACAATACTACAGCACGACGTCTCTACGTGACCAACTTGACCTTCGTCGTGAACAACTGGCAGACCCTGACAGCACGTTGGGATCTCGGAGGAGACCAGGACCCGGAAGGGATAAACGTCTCCGTCATCTGGGCAGCAGCAGGAGCGAGCGGGTAGGCAAAGGCTTGATATTTCAATCACTCATACAATGTCGTAATAGTTTCCGTTTGTGTTGATTTGGAAATATCGTATGTTTCCCGAGAAGGTAAAGAGAGTGTCAACTCAGGTGTTATTTTACAGAATTGCGAAATTCCACTATATGTTGGTATAACCCATCAAAGCAGTAAACGTTCGTAATTGTGAACCATTAGTAACATTCGTATTGCAGTTACGAAGTCGTGTCTTTGTAGAATAAACTCTCATAAGGGGCTTTCTATAGAATACTCTGATAACTCTGATGGAATTTACAATTTCTTTGGAACATGGCAAAGTTATTCTTCAAAAAGTCCGTTATTTCTGAGATGTCGTTTGTCTTCAATGTTTAACAACATTTTGAACAACCCACTTTTGACAGTAGCGCGGCATCACCAAAGCTTCATTTCAATGTGTATATAATATTGATGTTTGGCCAGGATGTTTTTCCTTTTGACAATGTTATGACTCGAATCGAACCTGCAGCCTTAATATGATGTTGAGATTTTAAGTGTAGGATAAAACACGACTCCGAGGTTTTGGTTGAGATTGTAAAACCTCAGGGGAAGGAAATCCCGAGGGCGCGTTAGCAACTGGTTGAGATTGTAAAACCTCAGGGGGAGGAAATCCCTGACACTGAGGTTTTACAATCTCAACCAAAACCGAGGAGGAGTGTTTTATCTAACTTATAAACCGTCTAAGACAACACTTAATTTCAATTTGTGCATGTACTGAGTAGAACAACATTGATGGAACAGCCTGCAAATGATGGAACAGCCGGTGTCAACTGGGATGCGACTGGCAGCCAACACCTTGCCTCGCACGCGCAATGCTCGTGCTCTGCACGCGCTACCCGTGTCCTGCACGTGCGCTGCCCGCAGTACCTGGCGTGTGAGAAACACATGGTTCATACTGACAAACAATTTCATTCCTCACAGCGATCCTTCGTAGCGTAGTGGATAAAACCGCCAAGCTAGAGAGCGATGGGTTGTGGGGTCGAAACCAGTTATCGCCAAAGAATATTGGAAGTTTTCAATAATAAGAAAATTTTACGATCAGTCATCAGGGTATGAGGTTTTACAACGACCATTGTAAAACTTCGTACCTCGTATGAGGTATTACAACGGTCATTGTAAAACCTCCTGCGAGGTATTACAATGATCATTGTAAAACCTCCACCGAGGTTATTCCATAATGCGAAGCAACTGCAAGAACAATAGACAACATTGGCCATAGGTTATAAGATGTGAATAAAACATGCAACCTTACATATGATGGTTAGATTTAGTGACGTGAATCGAATCTGCAACCTTACATATGATGTTTACACTTAGTGGCGTGAATCGAATCTGCAACCTTGCATATGATGTTTAGATTTAGTGGCGTGAATCGAATCTGCAACCTTACATATGATGTTTAGATTTAGTGGCGTGAATCGAATCTGCAACCTTGCATATTATGTTGAGATTTAGTGGCGTGAATCGAATCTGCAACCTTGCATAGGATGTTAAGATTTAGTGACGTGAATCGAATCTGCAACCTTACATATGATGTTTAGATTTAGTGACGTGAATCGAATCTGCAACCTTGCATATGATGTTTAGATTTAGTGGCGTGAATCGAATCTGCAACCTTACATATGATGTTTAGATTTAGTGGCGTGAATCGAATCTGCAACCTTGCATATGATGTTGAGATTTAGTGACGTGAATACAATCTAAAAACTCGCATATGATGTTTAGATTTAGTGAGGTGAATCGAATCTGCAACCTTGCATATGATGTTTAGATTTAGTGACGTGAATCGAATCTGCAACCTTACATATGATGTTTAGTTTTGTGACCTAATGTCATGCCACTAAGCAACAGACAATGAAAGGGTGTTCAATCTTACATGTGATGAATTCTGTTGTCTGAATGCTGCACATGGTCTTCTTGCTCTTCACTCTCATCGAACTGGTTTTATACCGTCACTACAGTCATATTCCATTATGCTATCCAGATGATTTAATTATTTTTTTCTGTCTTTCTAGTAATTCTTGCATGCAGACGGTTTAGGAGAAAGTTGAAATATTCCTCCTCGGTTTTGGTCAAAAAGTTTGTTAGCTACTTATCTAGTAGGTTCATCACAGTGGTAACAGTCTAAGACCTGTGTTAGTTCTGTCTCAACTCTTACACCAAGATTACACTCAGTGATAACTGAAATGCTGTTCAAAGCTGGACACTACAGCTTGTTCAGCTTGACCTGAGCTACTCTGCATATGCATGACCCGGGAGGTCAAATGGCACAAACAACAGGTCGATTTAACTTCATTAAATAGGGGAGCAGAGAATGTTATTAACGTTGGGTTCGTGCGAAACATGCATACATGGATTCGTTACAGAACTTGTCTCGGAAAACAACACTTCTGAAAAAACAATCATGTCATGTTTTAATTGAATTGTTTATACAGTCATATGATGTCTAGTTTAGTTTACTAACTTTACAACATACAGACGTCAGGTACTTTCACAATCCGATTCACTCTCGCTGTCAGTTTCTACACCCAGTTCAATTATCACTTTTCTATTTCATGTCCAACTGTAATATTTCTGTCCAAGTAGTCGACTAAAAGCCCGAATCGGAAACATAAAACCATCTGTACATTCTTTTTAAAAGAAAGTTAGGACATTGCTGACGATTTCTCGACACTGAGATCTCAAAAGGCGACTTTGTCTCGGCTGTTCGGACGTGTTGACAATCAACTGACAAAGGTGCACCCCTTCACAATAATAGACCCAACCAGTAGTGACACCGTCACGCAATGCATTACTATTCACTTGATCAGGTCAAGCTGAACAGGCTGTACGGGGAACTTATGATCACTTTAGTCATAGCTCTGGACGCCTACGCTATTTCAGATTGCATTACATCTTCTTTAAGAGTTCGTAAGCTTTCTATGACCATTCTGTGCGTGCTCTGTGAGGGGTGTGTGCAATTATGTTATATTATTTGACATTGCAGTTGGTACAATTGCTCAGAGAGTACACATCGTTCCTGCTTTCTTGATGAAGAAGACTACAATGGTTCGCCAAAGTATATATTCAACATCACAGTGAGCACAGAAGATGGAGAGTTTGTGCACATAAACGCGTCGATGAATTCAAGCGATTATGGTAGGATATTCTATCCTCCAGTTTTATTGGAATATGTTATTACTTTGGTAGAATTCAGGTAATAACATGCCTGTCGCGATAGGTGACAGAATTGATCGTTGTAACTTGGTGGATACATGTCATCGTTACCAAAAGAGTGCATTGTTGCTCAGAATATCAATCACTGGATTGTTTAGTTTGGACTCAAATATTTTCAAACTACCGTCACATAGCTTGACGCGGCATTAAGCAAAAACCTCACTAGAGGGAATGCAAAGCTGATGCAGGGTTTAGAGTGAGTGAGTGAGTTAAAATTAAATATTTCAGCCATATCCGCAGGGTTTAGACATCAACACTCTGGAGTAACCAATGAGCACGGGTATAGTGCTGACCCATTAAGAACAGGCCGGATATGGGCGTCTAACCTACGATCATCAGATCCTGTTTGGAATTAAGCACACAGAACTTTGCTGGGCCCAAGGCTACCGTGCAGAATATTTTATTGAATAAATTTTGGAAATTTTGGAATAGAATATTTTATTGTAAAATATTGGTTCCTTTAATCGCTGTTTAAAGATTGAAATCAATAATCCCGTTTACAGAGCTCCATGCCTATAATTAACAATATTTAGCTTTAGCCGTAGTAATAGTAAATAATCCTTGTGTCTGTCATGTTTCAGTGTGACACCATACACCATACTCCGTTTGTTTGTTTAAATACGGTAATGCAGTTCTACTGGATACAGCGTTTGTTTATGGTATCTCTGTCATGTTTCAGTGAAACCGGCACCTCTCAAATCTCTGGACGTTGGCAAAGTCACCAGTCGTTGTGTGGAGTTGTTGTGGCAGAATGAGTCAGAGTATCGACCTGTCACGTTCACTGTCACACACAGTGACTCTACCTCTGTACGTTTCCCAGATGCTCACCTACTTAAATCATGATTTAGGAAATCAACTAATTTCAGAACGCCTAATACAAATGTGAGAGAGTAATAAACGAGATTAATTCTGCTCGAAAGATTTGGTTTTGCGTAAAGATTTTGCGTTGTGCGGTGTTTGTAATGGTCAAGTTGTATTAATACACGTGTTGTTTAAAATAGTTAAAACGTCATAACTAAGATGACGTCACAATAGTCTGCAAATCAGTGTGATGCAATTCCTCCCCAGGAGATCTCACCACAGCGATACCTTCTGTACCAAGGAAGTTTTGCATGATGAAATGTAATAATGATATTAAACAATATATTGGAAACTATATGGTCCCAATTGTTTACAATACAGCGTCATCATCGCTGTGTGTAGTTGTGGATAGCTGGTACAGTTCGTCTAAGGAAAAATGTCTTCAAGAAATGTACTAACACATTTTGAATGATTTTTATCGCTCACAGACAAATACCAGTGTGACATCCGATCGTAACATGACGATCTGCGGACTGACTCCGAGTACGGGATACAACTTCAGCGTCTCGGCGATGTCCGCCACCGCTCGGCACGGGTACCGGAGTGAGGCGAAAACAGCTTCCTCCTTCACCAAAGAAGAAAGTAAATTTATAACATATGTTTTTAACGATAACACATAATTTCTTGTGTTTCTCCACCCGATGTTAAGCTTGAGTGGGATAGGGCTGACGAATTATAACTTTTATTGACAGAGCCACACAAGGGATAAATGGGCTAATCCCTGGTTCACCGTAAATTGATTCGTAGTTTGTCGTTGGTTGGTTGTTTTTTGTTTGACGCCGCACTCAGCAATATTCCAGCTATATGGCGGCTGTCTGTAAATAATCGAGTCTGGACCAGACAATCCAGTGATCAATATCATGAGTATCAATCTGCGCAAGTGGCATACGATGACGTGTGTCAACCAAGTCAGCGAGTCTGACCACCCGATCCTGTTTGTCGCCCTATACGACAAGCATGGGATGCTGAAGGTCAAATCTAACCCGGACCTTCACTTGCCTTAGTTTCTCAGTACCATTGGTGGTGAGTTTCGCTATAGTGATAAACGTCTAATGCCTGTATCACTACGGATATTTCTTTACACGTTTACACGCCAAATGTTATGGAGCTACAGTACAGTCAGATTCAACTCCTATTTTCACAGAGCCAGGAGCTGCTCCTAACATGCCTGCTGGAAGTTTCACTACACACACGTGCTCCAATAATAAGAGGGATGTTACCGTATATCTTCGGGTAAAGTTTGGCTAGTATTTTATAACTTCCTTCAATAGCAAGAGGGATGTTACCGTATATCTTCGGGTAAAGTTTGGCTAGTATTTTATAACTTCCCTCAATAGCAAGAGGGATGTTACCGTATATCTTCGGGTAAAGTTTGGCTGGTATTTTATAACTTCCCTCAATAGCAAGAGGGATGTTACCGTATATCTTCGGGTAAAGTTTGGCTGGTATTTTATAACTTCCCTCAATAGCAAGAGGGATGTTACCGTATATCTTCGGGTAGTGTCCTGCTAGTTTTTTTTATGTATTATACTCATGATAATAATGGTTGTCACCCCCTCCCCACCTCAACCCCACACCCCACACCCCCTCTCCAATTCAAAAAAATGAAGGGGGCGACAACCATTATTGGCATGAGTATATTTAGCTTCCCCCAATAGGCAGATTAGGCGTGCGAGTGAAATTTGATGAAAATGAGCTGGTTTGTGTACGTTTGCAAAACAGAATATTTTGTAGTAAATGTCTAGGACTCAGACAGGAGGTGTGCGTGTGCGTGTGCGTGTGCGTGTACTCGAAGGAGATGATTTTGTCCATGCTGTGTGTGTTATGATACTCATTGCAAAGTCCGCATGTGTTCACTTCTTCAGCCACCAGATCGTTCGAATCACAATGGTGACCTAAGGAGGTATCTCGCCACGTCTACTCATCTGCTCAATAAAAGCATATCCTACCCAGCCCAGACACTACTGCTTGAGGACCTAAATTGCAACGATGACAACAATGTCTCTGTTTATGTCGCCAATGATGCCGGAGTCTCTCCACCCTTCTCTCTCCGTATTCCTAAACTCGGCTACGGTATGTACAACTACAACTGCAATATCTAACATTGACATTTATGGTGTATTTGAGTCCTGCTTCAACCATGGATTTTGGGTAGAAAAGGATGAAGATATTATAAATAGCCAAATGCATTTTATCAATGGTATTTCAGAATTAACATAATTTATTATACAATCATAACAAACAGCCATTGAAGATTATAGAAAGGGTCTTAATTTATCTCAGCTAACGTGCAATGTTAACGTTCACACGAGTCTTTGATTTTGTATACCTACAGTGTATTTGTCTAATATACGTGCATACTGCATAACTCATAATTCATTATGTCAAATATGTGTTCCATATACAGTCGTACCACCGTCAAATGTACTGGTTGCTTTTGACAACACGTCTGTGAATGTGTCCTGGGAATCAGCATCACAGCCAGGGAAGAAGAATTGGACCGTATTTTGGAATATACTCTGTGTCAGGAATCCTGAAGATCATGCTTGTCAGGTATTTGGAGGACAACTTCTTTATTGTGTCTGGAATCCCAATAATTAGGCTTTTGGGAGAAGATGAAGTAGATCGTATTTTGTAATATGTTCTATGTCTGGAATCCTGAAGATCAGGATTGTCAGGTATCTGAAGCACATATTAGTTAAGGTGTCCTGGATTCCTGAAGATTAGGCTTGTCAGGTACCTGAAGCACATTTTAGTTAAGGTGTCCTGGATTCCTGAAGATTAGGCTTGTCAGGTATCTGAAGCACATTTTAGTTAAGGTGAGTCCTGGATTCCTGAAGATTAGGCTTGTCAGGTATCTGAAGCACATATTAGTTAAGGTGTCCTGGATTCCTGAAGATTAGGCTTGTCAGGTATCTGAAGCACATTTTAGTTAAGGTGTGTCCTGGATTCCTGAAGATTAGGCTTGTCAGGTACCTGAAGCACATTTTAGTTAAGGTGTCCTGGATTCCTGAAGATTAGGCTTGTCAGGTATCTGAAGCACATTTTAGTTAAGGTGTGTCCTGGATTCCTGAAGATTAGGCTTGTCAGGTATCTGAAGCACATATTAGTTACGGTGTCCTGGATTCCTGAAGATTAGGCTTGTCAGGTACCTGAAGCACATTTTAGTTAAGGTGTCCTGGATTCCTGAAGATTAGGCTTGTCAGGTATCTGAAGCACATTTTAGTCAAGGTGTCCTGGAATCCTGAAGATCAGGCTTGTCAGGTATCTGAAGCGCATTGTAGTCAAGGTGTCCTGGAATCCTGAAGATCAGGCTTGTCAGGTATCTGTAGCACATTTTAGTCAAGGTGTCCTGAAATCCTGAAGATTAAGCTTGTCAGGTATCTGAAGCGCATTGTAGTCAAGGTGTCCTGGAATCCTGAAGATCACGCTTGTCAGGTATCTGTAGCACATTTAGTCAAGGTGTCCTGGAATCCTGAAGATTAAGCTTGTCAGGTATCTGAAGCGCATTTTAGTTAAGGTGTCCTGGATTCCTGAAGATCAAGCTTGTCAGGTATCTGAAGCAGATATTAGTTACGGTGTCCTGGACGTCTGAAGATCAGGCTTGTCAGGTGTCCGAAGCACATATTAGTTAAGGTGTGTCCTGGATTCCTGAAGATTAGGCTTGTCAGGTAACTGAAGCCCATAATAGTTAAGGTGTCCTGGACGTCTGAAGATCAGGCTTGTCAGGTATCTGAAACGCATCTTTTTTTTTATTGCCTATGGAATAATGCTGATTCGGTCTGTGGGGTTTGTCCATTACATCTTGATTATTGTGCCTTGAATCTAAAATGATGTTCAACTAAAATATGATCACTGGGAAGGATAGGGCGGGACAGGTATGTGTGTTTTCACGCTATGTCCTGATTTCACCATACCCCTTTAACTGCTGCATTAACTCTCTGATGGCCTAGGGGTAGACTAGTTGTTAAAGCGTTGGCTCGTCACGCCGAAGACCCGGGTTCGATTCCCCACAGGGGCACAATGTGTGAAGCCCATTCCTGGGGTCCCTCGACGATATATTGCTGGAATGTAAAACCATACTCACCCACTCTGTTCTAGAACCACATGGACTGGATCAACCTCGAAACCAACGAATCCTTTGTAAGGTTCCCTTTCGAAATGCCTCCGGAAATGACTCAATTTGGCGTCGCCATGACAACAGACAGAGGGAGCAGCGGGATGGTTCTCAGTAGTTGTGTATACAATGTATCCAAGTGTAAGTGTAAATCCAACATGAACAACTATTGACGTGATACAGATTGATAAAAAATCATTTTCATTTTTCATTATATTCATTTTTCATATTTTCTGCAAGAGTTGGAATTTGGGGGTTTTTGCTTTCAACTGTCAACTCTATTAATTGATCAAGGAATGCCGCCCACGGTTTTGACATCATAATTAAGATCAGAGTTGTGTCCCCTTTACATGTTAGGATGCGCTTTTCCTGGGTTCAATTTTTTTCCTCCAGTGTCTTCACAACATGCCTTTACTTCCCGCACAGTACATAAAACGTCACTGACCAGAAGCTATCGCGATGTGATGTATGTGATGTATGTCAATATTATCAAACTATATGTGGTAATGTGTTTATTGACTACAGCACCTGCACCCTTCTGTCTGTCTTACCTATCAACACCTGAACTCATCTCTGTCTTCCTTCCCTACACCTGCACCCTTCTGTCTGTCTTCCCTATCAACACCTGAACTCATCTCTGTCTTCCTTCCCTACACCTGCACCCTTCTGTCTGTCTTACCTATCAACACCTGCACCCATCTGTCTGTCTTCCTTACCAGCACCTGCACCCTTCTCTCTGTCTTCCCTATCAACACCTGAACCCATCTTTCTGTCTTCCTTCCCTACACCTGCACCCTTCTGTCTGTCTTCCTATCAACACCTGAACTCATCTCTGTCTTCCTTACAAGCATCTGCACCCATCTCTCTGTCTTACCTATCAACACCTGCACCCATCTGTCTGTCTTCCTTACCAGCACCTGCACCCTTCTCTGTGTCTTCCCTATCAACACCTGAACCCATCTTTTCTGTCTTCCTTCCCTACACCTGCACCCCTTCTGTCTGTCTTACCTATCAACACCTGAACTCATCTCTGTCTTCCTTCCCTACACCTGCACCCTTCTGTCTGTCTTCCCTATCAACACCTGAACTCATCTCTGTCTTCCTTCCCTACACCTGCACCCTTCTGTCTGTCTTACCTATCAACACCTGAACCCATCTTTTCTCTGTCTTCCTTCCCTACACCTGCACCCTTCTGTCTGTCTTCCCTATCAACACCTGAACTCATCTCTGTCTTCCTTACAAGTATCTGCACCCATCTCTCTGTCTTACCCTATCAACACCTGCACCCATCTGTCTGTCTTCCTTACCAGCACCTGCACCCCTTCTCTCTGTCTTCCCTATCAACACCTGAACCCATCTTTCTGTCTTCCTTCCCTACACCTGCACCCTTCTGTCTGTCTTCCCCTATCAACACCTGAACTCATCTCTGTCTTCCTTACAAGTATCTGCACCCATCTCTCTGTCTTACCTATCAACACCTGCACCCATCTGTCTGTCTTCCTTACCAGCACCTGCACCCTTCTCTCTGTCTTCCCTATCAACACCTGAACCCATCTTTCTGTCTTCCTTCCCTACACCTGCACCCTTCTGTCTGTCTTACCTATCAACACCTGAACTCATCTCTGTCTTCCTTCCCTACACCTGCACCCTTCTGTCTGTCTTACCTATCAACACCTGAACCCATCTTTCTGTCTTCCTTCCCTACACCTGCACCCTTCTGTCTGTCTTCCCTATCAACACCTGAACTCATCTCTGTCTTCCTTACAAGTATCTGCACCCATCTCTCTGTCTTACCTATCAACACCTGCACCCATCTGTCTGTCTTCCTTACCAGCACCTGCACCCTTCTCTCTGTCTTCCCTATCAACACCTGAACCCATCTTTCTGTCTTCCTTCCCTACACCTGCACCCTTCTGTCTGTCTTACCTATCAACACCTGAACTCATCTCTGTCTTCCTTCCCTACACCTGCACCCTTCTGTCTGTCTTCCCTATCAACACCTGAACTCATCTCTGTCTTCCTTCCCTACACCTGCACCCTTCTGTCTGTCTTACCTATCAACACCTGAACCCATCTTTCTGTCTTCCTTCCCTACACCTGCACCCTTCTGTCTGTCTTCCCTATCAACACCTGAACTCATCTCTGTCTTCCTTACAAGTATCTGCACCCATCTCTCTGTCTTACCTATCAACACCTGCACCCATCTGTCTGTCTTCCTTACCAGCACCTGCACCCTTCTCTCTGTCTTCCCTATCAACACCTGAACCCATCTTTCTGTCTTCCTTCCCTACACCTGCACCCTTCTGTCTGTCTTCCCTATCAACACCTGAACTCATCTCTGTCTTCCTTACAAGTATCTGCACCCATCTCTCTGTCTTACCTATCAACACCTGCACCCATCTGTCTGTCTTCCTTACCAGCACCTGCACCCTTCTCTCTGTCTTCCCTATCAACACCTGAACCCATCTTTCTGTCTTCCTTCCCTACACCTCAACCCATCTGTATATTACCTCTACCGTAGTGTCATTATCTGTCGCTGTTGTATAAGAACATACATGACACAATGTGATGACCGCACCGAAAACCGTACATCAGCCCAGTTTGTTCTGATTTCAAAACTAAGCGCTTTTGTTGACAAACAAGTGAACAGTCGGGTCATGTGATATGGACACTGGCCTGTGGCAGTGATGTTATGCTAAAACATCAGTTCACTGGAGTTTGGGTCGTTTATAGACTTCTTGGATATGATATTACAGGAACTTATACCATGGGTGTGAATACTTGTGTTGACCTGTCGAATGTACTAAATGTTTTTTATTGCAGGTACACATATAAAAGGTGGAATCAGAATGAGGAAATTATTCTGCCACGTTTTTACGTGATCACCGGTGTACAGGTAATGAATATTTCACACACAGATGGCGGCTTTTTGCTCAGTTCTAAAATTACAATGTAACAACTTATTCCCTAGCTCTTCAAGTAGATAATGTGTGAGGCCGAATTACCCAATACAACATCATTAAGGAAGTAGCAACTTTAGTCAAGGACAATATAGGAGAGTGAGTTAGTGAGTAAACATCGGCAATAATTCGGCCATATAGTGACGAGAACAATTTAATTTTTATCTATATCAAAATCAATAAATTTAGAACGTAAAAAGCTGCCATCGAAGGACAGTAAAAATACCACAGTATCACAGATATGAATATAAAACTAGCATGTAAAACTAAAACCTTTTAACTAAAGAAGACAATACAATATAAAACACGGGCTATAGATCGCCAACAACTGAAGGTAGAGATCACCATACATAGACAGGAGAATTCAGTATCCTGGACATAAAGAATTGGGTAACTCGTGTTTTTAAATTCAAGTTGATAAAGACAATTTTCTTCAACGCAGCTTGGATCAATAGGGGGAGAATAATAACCTAAAAACGTAGACCACTATCACAAGAATGTACGTTACAAGTTTTAAACAGGTCTGGTTGATTTTGTGATTTTATGTCGGACACGGTAACTTTGCAAGGATTCTTGAATGTCAATCCTTCATTCAGGGTTTCACAGACCTGGACATGGCTGTGGTAATGCGATTGTGTCATTGTAACGGGGGTTTTCATTGGAAAATCGACGTGTTAATATAGATGACAAACCCAAATCAGTTTGGATGCTTTGATTATTTGGTAATTACATAAGGATAAACCAAATATTTCCAGCTGGAAATTATTGGTTTATCCGTATGTTGGTTAATCCCCAAAACTCATGCTGATCCGGGTTGTTGGGTAGTGCATGTACTTTCTGGGCGGTGGGGTAGCCTAGTGGCTAAAGCGTCGGCTCGTCACGCCGAAGACCCGGGATCAATTCCCCACATAGATACAATGTGTGAAACCCGTTTCTTGTTTTCCCAGCCCAGCTGGAATATTGAAAAAATGGCGTAAAATCATACTCACTCACGTACTTACTGTGTTTACTTGTACAGGAAGCATCAGCATCCGCCGGCAGGAATACAGTTGGCACAGCACGGTGCACCTTTGGCACCGAGGAACCGAGGTCATCCCATTTTCTATCTATTTTGGATTCCTGTCTTAATTCGAAATCCCAGAATGCCAGAGAAAACCGCCATGTCCTTCTCTCAGCTGAATCACTGCATGTTGGCTATGCAATGGTTGCTATGAAGGATGACTCCATGCCCGGAAACCCTGTTCCATTGCTACAGGATCAGCAGCTGCCGGATGTGGGTGTCTGGGATGACTCGTCAGGATCCAGTGATGAAGACGTTAACCCCTACGTCACGGCGGGCATGGAGGATGACAGAGACATGGTGGAGAATGAGGAAGGAGAAATAGGGTATGGGGATAAAGAGGAGGAGAAGGAAATGGGAGAAGAAGGTATAGAAGAGTAGAAGATAAGCAAATGTAATTGAGGAGATGGGGGAGAACAATACGGAGGATGTGAGGAGACAATAGAAACGAGGAGACAAAAACATAATGGGATGAAGAAGTTGAATAGCTTATGATGGAGGAGGAGAGGACGAAAGGGAAGATGGTGAGGAGAGAACTGAAACGAGGAGAAGGATGCTGGGTCGAATTGGGGGAGGGGAATAAGAACAGTACAAATGACGTGACAAAGAGGAAATAGGACCTGGGGGTAGGGAATTGAGGACCATGTGGAAAACATTACAAAAATCAAATTTGAGATCCTTTAAGGGAGACGGATCCTGTGCTTATTTGGCTGTCAGATCTATACGTCTTCTTAAGTGCTCGAACCGAAACTGAAACACTGTTTATTCGTATATTCATCTTGGTTGTTCTAAAAATACTATTGAAATACTAATTGATTTCATCAGATGTCGTGAGTACACCTCCTGACGTGAAGACGTTTCGCAAAAATTTATATGTATCCTTATTAAAATTTATATTTAAGTGGCAATTGAGTTTAATCAATCTTTAAGTTGCCATCTGATGTATCAACACAGTACTTAGACCCAATAAGACCATAAGATCATATGTAACACATTGTTGTTCCTTATGTAGATTGTTCGGTCAAAGGGAGGCTACTCTATGTTGAACTTTCGCCAAAACAAATATTTGTTGCTTGCTTGATGTTTTCATCACCTTCCCTAGCAGAGAATACTGTCATTTCATCAAAATATCTGACTATGATGAATACATTTTTATGCATGGTAAATATAATCTTTTGGTACAGCAAGATGTATGTATTTATGGTGGTTCAACTTCAAGTAATGTGCTTTAACCCAATTTCTGGTCCAGTTCACCCTTAAACTATACTGACACCATGACTTTGATAGTTACATTGCCATACTTTTTTTCACTTTTTCACTTTCCTAATTGACATTTTTTTAAATTTTTTAATTTTTTTTATTCCATTTCAAGTCTCACATAAAATACATATGGCAAAGAGGACAACAACCAAATATATATGTACATAGCTTCAGTGATGTTTTGCAAGGTTCTATATGACATAAAAGACAGTAAAGAAAACATGTACACACACGCGCACACATACATATATACATATACATACATATGCACATACATACACGCATGTATACATATATATATAAATATAACATCATGAGATTACAACAATTATATAGATACATAATATGTCATTAAAGTTTCTGTGGAGGGAATATGAAATTGGAGGGGTAAGGTTGAATAGTATGGTTGTAGTGAGTAGGGTCTGGAGGTCTCAGCTGATATTATAAGTAGAATTTAATGTTTAGCACACAGTAAGGTATCTAAATGTTTCCATTTCCTTACAAAGGGATCTAAGCTATTGTTTTTCCTAGCTATATATTTTTCAGTTGTATATATATCTTTTAATAACTTAAGAAATCCCTCAAGGGAAAGTGTTTGATGTTTTATACTTGAAACATAAATGAATCTTTTGGCAAGAAGTATAATATGGTTTAGTATTTTATTGTTTGAGAACATTCCAAATATGATAGTGAATTTTGTAAATGTGACATCACACTGGAGGTGGGCATTTAGAAATTGTTCTACTTTTCGCCAAAAGTTTTTAACTAAATCACAGTAAAAAAATACATGCAATATGTCTTCTGAGGTATTTTTATAAAAAGTACAAGTATCATTATCAACTAGCTTCATCTTCAATAGTTCTTTCTTTGTATAGATTATTCTGTAAATAAATCTGTACTGAAAATCTAACAGCTTACAATCATTTGTGCATTTCCTGTAATATCTGAATACATTACTCCACATTATATCCTGCTGAAAGACAGTTTTCCAATACTCTAGTACTTTAGGGGTATTGTTGTTCTTAATCAATTTATCATAGAATATTCTTGAACCTTTAATATTTGAGATCATATCTAGGTAAACTCTATTAATGTTTAATTGATTTAAGCAGAGAGTTCTGTTTCCTACAAGTTGTCTCCAGTTCATTGGAATGTTATTTAACAAATGATGATAGTCTAGGAAGGTCCCGCTTATTTTGTACCTCTGTTTTACATCTTCAAAACTGAGAAATCCATTTTCATTACAAATATCGCTGACATAATGTATACCGCACTTAAACCAGTTTCTTATCATGTATGAAGATTTAAAGAAATGGTTTAACCAGAGTGGCTGAGCTAAGATTTGGTCTAAGTCATCGCTGTCAAAGGTGTGTTTTTTATAAAATATTCTCCATGCAGATAAAACATCTCTCCAATAGGGATTATCTTTGCCAGATAAGCAATCAACAGCATTAGAACCTAGAAAGTACAGTTGACTTAAGGGAAAAATGCTATTAAAATTTGAAGTTTTCTTTAAGTGACATTTCAGTGAAGATAATTTCGAAGCGTTAATGAAACATTCAATGTCAATCATTCTGAGGCCTCCATCTTCGTAAGTTCTACTGATATTAGACCTTTTAATCTTATCATTTTATTATTCCATATGAATCTATAGATTATTTTATTGAGTTCATCGATGAATGTTTTTGGCGGGTTAGGAAGTGCTGAGAAAATATGTACTAGAGTAGAAATTGCTAGAGTTTTGATAACAGTGATTTTCCCGATTAGAGTCAGGTTTCTTCTTCGCCAACTAGCAAGTAATCTATTAATATGTTCTAGGCGTTTTCTGGTGTTAATTACCCAAAGGTCTTTAAGAGAAGCGTTAAGTGTTATTCCTAAGATTTCAAAGTCTCCACTGTGCCAGTCAAGATAGGAGTCATTGGCTAAAGTTATATTACTACCTGTCATTGAGCCTATCCAGATAGCTTTTGTCTTGTTTATGTTCATTTTGAGTCCAGACATTTGATAGAATTTATTCAGTGTTTCAATTGCAACACTGAGACTTGTTTCAGATCCATCTAGAAATAGCTGTGTATCGTCCGCATATTGTCCGAGTTTCTGTTCTGTATCATTAAGTGTTATACCCTTTATATTAGGATTCGACCTTATCATAATACCTAATATTTCAACGGCAAGGATAAATAAATACGGTGAGACTGGATCTCCCTGTCTACACCCTCGTTCCTGGTGGAAAAAGGAAGAGATGTGCCCGTTTTGTATCACAGCTGCTGTATTATTACCGGTTAGAATTTGAATCCATTTGATAATATTGGGCCCAAACCCGAACGCTTTCATTACCTGTATTATAAATGTTTTGGAGATAGTGTCAAAGGCTTTTTCAAAATCTATTAGTAATAATAGGCCGGGTTTATTTAACCTTCTTGTTTCAAAGACAATATCATATAGAAGTCTTATATTTTCACTCATACATCTCCCTGGTATAAAACCTGTTTGATTTTCATGTACAATTGTATCTAATATTGATTTAAACCTGTTTGCAATACATGTGCTTATTATTTTGTAAAGGGAATTTAGTAATGAAATAGGTCGCCAGTTCTTTAGGAATTTTCTGTCTCTATTTGGTTTAGGTAAACAAGTAATAATTCCCCTGTTCTCCTAATTGACATTGTCTTAATCATTGCTTAGTTATCCCGTGCAGTAAAAGAGGGCATATGTGGACTTCATGATATGGACAAACCAGGACATAGTTAAACTGCAACACTGTGAAAAGATGTACAGAGTTGCATGTTGAAGGATGTTGCTGTATATAACACACCAGGACACAGTTACAATGAAATACTGTGAAAAGATGTACACAGAGTTGCATGTTATATAACACACCAGGACATAGTTACAATGCAATACTATGAAAAGATGTACAGGGTTGCATGTTATATAACACACCAGGACATAGTTACATTGCAATACTGTGAAAAGATGTACAGAATTGCATGTTGAAGGATGTTACTGTATATAACACACCAGGACATAGTTACAATGCAACACTGTGAAAAGATGTACAGGGTTGCATGTTGAATGATGTTGCTGTATATAACACACCAGGACATAGTTAACCTGCAAAACTGTGAAAAGATGTACAGAGTTGCATGTTGAAGGATGTTACTGTATATAACACACCAGGACACAGTTACAATGCAATACTATGAAAAGATTTACACAGAGTTGCATGTTATATAACACACCAGGACATAGTTACAATGCAATACTATGAAAAGATGTACAGGGTTGCATGTTATATAACACACCAGGACATAGTTACAATGCAATACTATGAAAAGATGTACAGGGTTGCATGTTATATAACACACCAGGACATAGTTACAATGCAATACTGTGGAAAGATGTACAGAGTTGCATGTTGAAGGATGTTGCTGTATATAACACACCAGGACACAGTTACAATGCAATACCGTGAAAAGATGCACAGGGTTGCATGTTGAGGGATGTTACTGTATATAACACACCAGGACACAGTTACAATGCAATACCGTGAAAAGATGCACAGGGTTGCATGTTGAGGGATGTTACTGTATATAACACACCAGGACACAGTTACAATGCAATACTGTGAAAAGATGTACAGGGTTGCATGTTGAAGGATGTTACTGTATATAACAAACCAGGACATAGTTAAACTGCAACACTGTGAAAAGATGTACAGGGTTGCATGTTATATAACACACCAGGACACAGTTACAATGCAATACTGTGGAAAGATGTACAGGATTGCATGTTGAAGGATGTTAATGTATATAACACACCAGGACATAGTAACAATGAAATACTGTGGAAAGATGTACAGGGTTGCATGTTATATAACACACCAGGACATAGTTACAATGCAATATTGTGAAAAGATGTACAGGGTTGCATGTTGAAGGATGTTACTGTATATAACACACCAGGACACAGTAACAATGCAATACTGTGGAAAGATGTACAGGGTTGCATGTTGAAGGATGTTACTGTATATAACACACCAGGACACAGTAACAATGCAATACTGTGGAAAGATGTACAGGGTTGCATGTTGAAGGATGTTACTGTACATAACACACCAGGACATAGTTAAACTGCAACACTGTGAGAAGATTACAGAATTGCATGTTGAAGGATGTTGCTGTATATAACACACCAGGACATAGTTACAATGCAACACTGTGAAAAGATGTACAGGGTTGCATGTTGAAGGATGTTACTGTATATAACACACCAGGACACAGTTACAATGCAATACCGTGAAACGATGCACAGGGTTGCATGTTGAAGGATGTTGCTGTATATAACACACCAGGACATAGTTACAATGCAACACTGTGAAAAGATGTACAGGGTTGCCTGTTGAAGGATGTTGCTGTATATAACACACCAGGACATAGTTAAACTGCAACACTGTGAGAAGATTACAGAATTGCATGTTGAAGGATGTTGCTGTATATAACACACCAGGACATAGTTACAATGCAACACTGTGAAAAGATGTACAGGGTTGCCTGTTGAAGGATGTTGCTGTATATAACACACCAGGACATAGTAACAATGCAATACTGTGGAAAGATGTACAGGGTTGCATGTTGAAGGATGTTAC